GACTGTGTGATGCTACCTACGCTAGGGCTCTGAAGTTGCTTATAGCAGAGGAGCCCAGCCTTCCATCAGAGATGGACCATGGGACTAGCATGAAGCTATTCTGACCTGAGTCACCTCTGAAACATGGCCAAAATGCTGACCATGTTCATGGGGTATAGACCTACCACCATGGGCACAGATTTCACTTGACCATGTTGTTCATGGCCATGCTTTGCGTTTGAAGGGGTGGTTGCAAAAGATGGCAGCAGAGAGCTGTTTGTTAAATATTCTTTTGATACCCAGCCCTGAAATTTTGGATCACTATTGAGTGGAGCCATAAAAAGGTCCTACTTCCACCCAAAATACCTTGGAAATTGTTCTCTGACCTGTCAGTCGCAGCGTGCCCCAGTTTGCCTTACTAGCTCCTTGGTTTCAGCCATTGAAGAGAAGCTTTATCAGTCTGGCTGCCAAAGTAGCCTTGAAACAAAGCAATAATGAAAAAAGAGTCCTGTTTATTCTGTGTTGTTTACTGGATCCAAGGCTTTAGTGGTCTGTTGCTTAAACTTGCAGCCTCTTCAGCAGAATTGCTGGAAGCCCTCTTCTGACACCAAGGTCTCCAACTGCATAAATGTCCAGACCAGCATGTCTGGGCAAGCCTTTTGGCAGGAATCCTCCCCAGTAAGGAAAGGAACACTGAAAAATTGATGGAAAACGTGAAAAATGGCTTGGCTAACCAGATCTTGCTTCTGTTGCTATTTGGCTATGCTATGCCAGCCAGTATATTTGCTTTCTGTATCCTAAAATGTGGTTTTCCTTCATATTCTCCAAAACAGTTCTGAGAAAAGGTTCTTTGCTTTCCCAGGATGTCAAAGAACAAAAAATGTATTCTTCCTTCTTCTCACATAATCCCAAGTATTCTGATATGTAAGGGCTGCCAAAGAAAAAAGAGCTGCAATTAGGAAGGATCACCCTTTAGGTGTAGGGATAATCCAGACAAGAATCCTCTTAGTCTCACCTTTGGAGAAGAAACTAGTGTGAAGAATGTGTAGCCTTCCAGATACTCAGGTTGCCCAGAGAGGCTGTGGCTGCCCCCTCCCTGGCAGTGTTCAAGGCCAGGTTGGACGGGGCTTTGAAGCAACCTGATCTAGTGGAAGGTGTCCCTGCCCATGGCAGGGGGGTTGGAACTAGATGGTCTTGGAGGTCCCTTCCAACCCAAACCATTCTATTATTCATTCTATGATTATCTGTTTTCCCCCCAGAGGAAATAGGGAAACTGGTAGAGAAGGTAAATATTCTTGCAGACAGAATTATCCTGACTTATACCCTGCAAAAACTAAAGTAGTAGACAAGCCTTTTAAAAGCAATAAAGTCAATTTAGTTGCTTTTTTAGATGTGTTAACCTCCTGTGCTACCAATAAGAAAAGACCTGGAAAATCACCTATTGACTAGATGTTGTGGAAGATTGCCCTCCCCAGAAGGGAGCCTGGCTGGTAGCAGGAGCACCGAGATGTGGCTCTGCTGTGTCACAGCTCTGCTGTCTTCCAGAAAAAGCTTTGATATCCCTGGGGCTGTATCCTTCAGTGAATGTAACAGAAGCTGCCATGACAACCTCTTGTAAATAAAAGTGGGTTGAAAACCAAATAAATCTGAAGCTGCTTTGTGGCTGTAAAGTAAATCTAAACTGCTCAAGAGGTCGTTTTTTGTAATTGGGGATGGCAGGAGTGATGTCTGGCTAACAGACAGTGCTGAGCGACGTGAAGGACTGACTGAGGAACAGGAGCATGGCAGGAAAGCTAACAAAACTTTTCAAAACAGACTTCTCATACTCTTAATTCCAGGTTAGCAGCACCAGGAGCTGCAATCTCTGATGGCTTTTGTTCCTTACAGGGATGATCGCAGACTGTGGTCTGTACAGAAGTTGTCTGTCTGAGGATATAATGCAGGACTGATGGATACAGGGAAAGATGCCATTCATTCTTCGACCAGGGCTCTGCAGTCTCAAATAAGAAGGACTCTTCCTCATACCAAGATGTCACTGTGCATCTTTGATGGAAGTTTTTAAAATATCTCTTCAGAACCATGTGATTTTCCAGGGTCCATATTCCAAGTGCAGTAAAGCACAGCTGGAGAGCAAGAAAGCTAAGAAAAGTTTCAATCCTAGGTTAATGCCAGAGTGAGCCATCAGTGTGTATCTGTTGGCATAAGATCAGTCGGATATGTGATGAGGGCTAGGGCTGTGCCATTGGCCTGTCGAGAGTACCGTGGTGTTTTGCAACACTTCTGGAGCAGTTTTTATTTTTTTGTTTTTTAGAGAGTTGCTGTATCATCAAATGCATTGTCACGAACACAAGAAAGAAATTTATCTAGTCTATATTCTGCAGAGATACACGCAAGGAGAAACTAAGCATCTAATACTTCCTTGCTTAACCAACAGGTTAGAACTGAGAGAAGTATTTGCAGCCTGACATTTGATATACATATTTTTACCTTCTGTAAATTGATGCCTTCACATATAGAATCCTGTGAAGAAGTGAAAGGTGAAAAAAATTACACAGGCCTAAAAGTACAATTATCCTGTTTGAAATGTTCTCCAGCACTGTATTAACAGAGAAAGGTCTCATGCTGTCCAGAAGAGGTATAGGTCCAGTTATTTCTGCTTACAGATAGAGATCTCCTGTTCTGTGTGTAAGACAGATGAAGTTAACATACCTGTGTGGTATCTGAGAGTTACAAATTAGCCTAGTCATCAGCTGGGTTTCATGATACTTTTAGACTTTAGAAATTAATATGTACATGTTTTGGGCAGAAGGTTTTTGCTCAAAAAAACAAGTTATGGTTTTGTTCCTAGCTGTTCCAGATTTTCTGAAACAGCTTTTTCAACCCTGATTACTAGATATGTGTCCCCTTAAATCCAGTTTCTTCCATCTAAGCTCTGGCCTTCCTAAATAGCAAGTTTTCTCCCTGTGGATTACAAGTAGTAGTAATATAGGGATGCTAATATGTGGAGCTAAAAGAGGTTATTTCATTGATTTATTCCATGGAGAGTGACTTAGTACACATCAGATTCCAGCTTCTGCACTACTGAAGATGGGTAGTGGAAAATGTTGGTAAATCCTTTGGCTAAATTAAACACGAGGAGATATATTTTTGTGTAACTTTCCATTAGGCTCTTAAACTTTTTCACAGAGATTCTTCACTTAAATGCTGCAGTAACCTATGAAGTAGGAATAATTGTAATTATTAATAATAATTTTAAAATTTAGTATATACACATTATTATAAAATATAAAATATTATATAAATTCTATAAAATATTATTATAAATACTATTTATAAATAAACAATTTTTATAGGGAGCACATAAATCATTTTGATCTTCACTAATTACAAAAATAAGCAAATTAATACAGAAGCTTTTAAGATCCTGCAGTTCCTGGTTCAGCCTCTGTCAAATCTTGATAACAGTGAAAATCTGAACCAAACAATTGGCCTCTTCTTTTGGTTTTGAGATGTTCCCTTAGATTTTTATTTGCAAATGAAGTTGATGTGAAACACAGACATCACAGCATGGCTATGAGGGTGATGTTATATACTTAGGTTGGTGCTTTGTTGTTCTGGCCTTTGTAGATGGTTCCCATTGAGTTTGCATAGATCGAGCCGGGAGCATACTAATTTGTCATGAATATTTTGGTTTGTGGCCTAATGATTTGGGGCCAGCTTGGCCAAGCTTGGCTGCTGCTGCTTTTTTTTTTTTTTTTTCCTTTCCAACTTGGCATGAATTACTCCCATGTGCTTCAGTTCCAGTAATTCGATATTTTGTTCCTTATTTTTGTTGTTCATTATGTAACCAGAATATTGTAAAACACTTGTAAGGATTATGCCTAAATTACACATTTTTGAGCATAGTTTGGATTTAGTATGATTACACAATGTGATGTGATTAGACCTGTGGCTGCTTTGAATTCTGAAGGCAAGCAAGCCTTGCAGACTTCCTGGCCGGTGCTAATTTTTAATTAAACTATATTTAATCTCAAATTAGGTTTATGTGAAATTGCTGTTTATTTATGTTTTGAACTATTTTAAATGGGATGCAGATGTGGTGGTAAGAGAAACACTGAATCATTACATGGAAAAGGTGATGCCTTGCATCTGGGAGGTTCTGTGTTGGGGAGCTATTCCTGACATTTAGATCCAGATTTGGGTTCCAAGACTCAGTTCTTCGGCACACAGCATTAGGCAACTCTATGCTTTCCGTCATAGAATTACTCATTATCTACTTTTCTGATCAAACAGATGCTAAACTTGACACTAACATAATTTCCTTATGCAAGTAGAAAGGAGCTCTAAAAGCCCCATGGTTGGAACATTAAGTAGCATAAACAGAACAGACGGCAGGAGGTACAATATAATTGCAGTTTGTTTTTGTTAGTTAAAGATGAGCATGTGTGCTTTTCTTATGACTTTATTGTCACACAGAATTGGGTGCTTTTCTCTCATTTGTGCAAGTGAATTGATTATTTCCTCCCCAAGTACCATGTCTTTGTTTTCTCCTTCTTTGTTATATATGTTACATATTTTTCGGAACATTGACATATTCTCTTTCAGGTTTTGTTTATTCCCATAAATACTGTTTAAACTAAGATTATATAAAGGCAAGATAAGCCATTTGCTGAGCAAGTGGCTGTATTTAAACTGTAATTTCCTATGTTTTTTTATGTGGGATTTAGGTACCTCCCCTTGAAAGTTTTAGCACAAGAATTTTGACTTTGGCTGCACAGGTGCTTTTTCATGGTGGTGTGCAAGCATTGCTAAGGGCTCCCTATTCATTTATTACTTAATCTGCAATTGGTTTCTCAGCCAAAGAGAACGATCGGAGCTCATGTTATTCCTTATCAGCAATTGCTATGGGTAAAGTAGTGGGCACTTCGGAAATAAAACCACAGTCTACAATCATGGGATGCTCTGATGGAAGGAAGAAGACCTTAATATTGGACACCAATTTTTCTTCTCTGTCCTGACAGGATCTCAGCTCATTTGCCATGCCATTCTTGGACGGTGACGTTGAGAGCACAGACAAAAATGCTTCTCGCAAGGTAGGATATTTCCAAAGCTTCACCTTCGCTGTAGTGGTTAAATCCTTTGGTGGTAAACACAGTTTATTAGGCTTAAAAAAGCCTGGGGTTTTAATCTTTCCTGCTGTACCATTAACCTGTTGAGAGCGATGCAATAAGGCAAATATAGTGACTTTTGCAGAACTTACCATGAGTGTGCAGTATAACCTGTAAATGATGCTAGCCTGTGGTGGTATTGTTTTAAATATTGCAAATGCATGTGGCACTGCTGTAATTCAATGAAGTGATATTGTGTGACTGTATTCTCAGGAATATAGTTAGCTAACAAAATTTGTGGTGTTGCTACAGAAATACAGTGCCCACATAGGTGTCTGTGGCTGTTGGTATGTTTTCTTGGAATTGTCTCCTGATGGTTGCTCTCTGGATGTGGAGGTTTTAACTGTTTGGTGTCCTTGAGCTGTCTGTCCTTGGCACTGGCAAAATGAGCTGCCTTCATTTGCTGAAGTCATAATGATAGGGTCTTCCTGTAAACAAGGTGGAAAGGTTCCTCCTTGTTGTGGGATTAACTCAAGGTTATCCTTCTGGAGGCATTGCTATGATTTGTCTTTCTGATGGCCTGCTGTTAAAATAAAGCAATACATTCACTGAGTTTGCTTGCTTTAAAATGATCAGGTAAGCACATTCACATTGGGGATGGTTATACAGCGCCTACAGTCTCCAAAGCAATAAAAATTGTGGGTGGGATCTGTCATCTTCAGGTCCTGGCCTCATCGTTTTCACAAAGTGTTGAAGTACAAGCTGGTCTGCTAAATGTAAGCCTCCTACCAGCCAAGTAATGGGCTTGGTGGAGACAGGTACTCCTCTGAACAGCAGATAACCCCAAAAGGTGATCTACAGCTACACAGCAGACCAGTTTGACTTGTCACAGTATTTACAAGGCTATGGACCTCCATGAAGATTAAACCTGCTACAAGCCATTTGTCAAAGAATCTGCAGTTACAGTTCAAGGCAGGTGAAGCAGTAAATATCTTCTTAGTGAAGCTAATCTGCATCTAGAACAATAACTTAGCTCTGTTGAGAGCATGAGTTTCTCTTCCTTTGCACCTCTCAGCAAAGGACAGTTGTTTAAAAACTTTCTGCAATCCATCAGCAATTGAATATGTTTCTAACAATGGCCTTGTTCTTTTCTGCATTGGACCTTTCAAGACTGGTGTAGGAGTCACTGACGCAGAGGAGCTCTTGTAGATGCCAGGGAAGCTAAAATATACAGTGTTACCAAAAGGTGCTTGTTTGAAGGGCTTGAATAAAGTGAACAGCGTTTATGTTTTTGGAAAGGGTTATCATGCTGGAAGAAGGCAGGGGTTTCTAGCTGAAACTTGATTTTTCCATTTATCACCTCCTTTTCCCAAAGAGAGGTGAGAAAGCTGCATCAGTCATAAGGAAAAAAAATACCAAAGCTAATCTCATGTGTAGTATGACATGATATCATTTAATGACTTGTACTTTCCCATTTATGAATTTCCTGTTTTTCTTCTTACTGGTCTTAGGATCTCTTTTGATGGGTACTTGTCTTAGGAGAACTGGAAGAACATTTCAGTAGTTGCCCCTGTAGCAAATGCTGTTTTTTGCCTAACTTGGCTCAAGTTCTGCTTATGGAAGTGCAATTAACTTTGAAATAACCATGCAACTGGGGCTCAACATCTGAAATGCGTTTTTAACTGACCTTTTTGATTGTGCGTATAAGACCCTGAGCTTTTTCTGACATTATACTTGGAGCTTTGTTCAAAACACGCAACAAAGTGATAAGAAATGAGCTGGCAGTGCCCAACTTCTGATAAGAAACAAATCTAATAAAATCCATCATATCCTACATACCATTTTCCTCAATGAGAAGGATGGGATCTTTGCCTCTAGTGAACGCTGAGTAGCATCAGACTGCAGTATTTATTTAATTCTAACTAAAAGTTTGCCAGTCCCTACTGGTGCTGCATAAAGAAGTCCCCAAGTTACTCTTCATTTTCAAGTGAGATGTTTTTCCTCTGTTCCAGTTTGAAATCACAGTATGGTGTGTAACTTTTGTATGTCAAAAGTCAGCATTTCATCAGTGGTGTGGCCTTTCCATTCATCAGTCATGCTGGAGACAGGCAATTGATCAGGGATGTCTCTCTTTCTGCACTTAACTTTTCTGTTGCTGGGCTACAGATCAAGGTAGAGAAGACTAGTTCACAACCCATCGTTCCAATCTGCCATTAGTTTAATTCTTCAGTTCTTTGTGAAAGGCTTTTAGAAACTGAATTAACATTTTTCACAGAGATCCTCAGCACTTTACAATGCAAGTGTCTCTCAATCATTATCCTGTGATAACAATCCTCATTACACAGCTAGGAAAATCATGTGCAGAATTATTTGTTCAGTTTCACATACATAGGATTTTTTTGGCAGCATTGGGAGGGTGACACACATTTCCTGAAGTTTAGCCTTAATCACTTCTCATTAACATGGTTACTATTATAAATGGTGTATTCTTCTTTCCTTTATGACCGATGGCAGAAAGATCATAGGGGTAGTTTTCACCTTCCTCTGTTGAAGATGGAGAATATAATACTGTGAGGACTCTTCTATAGAAGTTTTTGGTGTGGTGTGACAGAGGAAGGTAGCTCTTGTGCCTGTGGCAGGTATTCTGGCCCTTATTGCCTGACAAAATGCCTTAATGCTTGTGCTGGTAGCTTTGTCTAAAACAACTGGTATTTCTGATTGTCCCAAAGCTAGGACTCTCCACAAGTGGCTTGAATCCTTGTTGCAGAGGAAACTTAGAGGATCATTAAAGCAGTATAGACCAGGACAACCGGGAGCTCAGAAGCAATTAGATTTACTTGATTTCCTTAGTCTGGAAAAAGACAATGGAGGAGGGGCAGTTTAGAGGCCTGGAAAATCATGAGTGATGTGAAGCATCATTCAGAAAATAATTCTGGTACAGTGTGGCAGGGCAGCAGTCAGGCACTCAAATGGCTCTATCAATTTTAGAGGTCTTAACACCTTGAATGTTTATAGATCCTTCATTTTAAATGTTAAAGGTTAAAGGATAAGGTGTGGAAATTATAGGAAACTGATAGCCATTGCTTTCAGCTGAAAGCCCAGGATTGTGAATGATTAGAGAGAAGAAAATGGCACAGGAAGAAAATTATCCGTGGGGAGGCAACTAGCAAGTTAGAGATGGAGAAGGGAGGAGGAGGAAGAAAAGAAGTTTTAAGAATAATATTGATCCATTCATTTGTGGAAATAATTGAATTTTCATTAAATATAGAAGAAAGCTTGGAAAAGAAATGTGCATTAAAAATTCTTTTCTCTACTTGGGGAAAAAGCAGGTGAAGTGTTTATCTTAGATGACGATGGTGACTCTGTCCTCTTAATGACTTAAGTGTATTTAAAGCGGAAGATGCTAAAGCTAAACATCTTAAAATGAAATCCAAACAACTCTCATAAAATACCCTTAAATGAAATGATAGAGCTTTCTCTGACTAGTCCTGATTTTGAATAAATATTGGAGCAGAGATGAAGTTCCAAAAGACTGCAAAAAAAAGCAATTACTGTGTTAATATTTACAATAGTTGCAATTAGCACAATTTACAGGTTTGTCAGTCTAACATTAGTCATGGGCAAAACAATGACATATCTAATATTGGATAGTTAATGATGCTATTATAATAGACTCAATTGGATTGAAATTAATGATAAGCAGTTCTTATTGAACAAATATGAGGTTTTAAATGAATTATCAATCTGGTTGGAAAAAGTTGTAGTGTTGGTGTCACATATATTAAAACGTAGCACAAGATATTTTGATTTAAGAAACTGTAATGATACTGGATAAACACGGAGCCTATTAAATGAATCAAAACCTGGCTGATAAAATAAATTGAGACTCATCAGTGGAAATTTTTGTTTCTAGGCAGACAAAACATTCTGTTGCTATACCATACCATACTTTATTGAAACAAATACAGACTCATTACTGATACAATTTGTAGTTCATACAAAAACAAGGGGGAAGCGTGGTAAATTCTGAGAAGGAATGTCTCCAATGCAGAATGACCTGAATCGCTTAAAACACATTTTGCAAACAAATTGCTCATCTCAATTTGGTCAAATTGTGATTGGTTACACCTAGGAGCAAATAGTGCAGACTTTAGTGTTTGGGAAATCTGGCACAAAGCCTTGATTAGACTTGGAGAATAGCTATAGGTTATCAGCTGTATATGTATTCTGAATGTGATGTGGTGGTTAAAGGATTAGTTTGGGTTTTGGATGTTCGAATAAAGGAATAGGGTGAAAAGTAGAGGTTTTGTTATGACTGAATTTGGCACTGACTCACAGTTCTGCTATCAGTGATGCAAGAAAGTGTTGATGAACTAAGATCAGACAACATCTGAGGAGTGACTCCAATATTGAAGGACACTGAGGAGTGCTTTGCCCTGCTCCTGGTCCCAGCATTGTTTTTATTTTGTCCAGTGACTCATGGGAGCTATATGAGCAGCCCCTGGAACAGGGAGGAGAAACAAAAAAAAAAAAAAAAAAAAAAAAAAAAAAAAAAAAAAAAAAAGCCATTTTTAGCCCCCCGTTCAGTAGATAATAAAGCTCCTTTTGATTTTTTTTCCCAGTCTTTTTTTTATCCATTTCTTTATGAGTAGTGAGTATGGGGAGCGTGTCGTGGATGGTGCTGCAGCCTTGGCATGGGGCACCTGCAGTGGATGCAGTGAGCCTCAGGGCAAGGGCATGTAGGACAGCCACTACACTGTCATGTGCATCACTCCTTCCCACCCTTTGCTTTAAAATAAACGCAGTTAAGGGTTAGGAAGTGGATGGGGAGTCAGCCCTGCTTTCACCTTTCCTCAAGCCTGCTTCTGCCTTTGAGCAGCCCCGCTTGCTGCTGGAAACCTTACCCCAGCCGTCTGCACAGCAATGCAGAGCTCTCTGAGCCTGCCAGAGCAGCCAGCTGCATCCCATTGTATTTTAATTTGGGA